GTCTGGCAAGTGCCGACACAGCAAGACCGGCTCTGAGTGAGTGGGAGAGGCTGGGAAGTCTGCTGAGTGCGTAGCATCTCAGCTTTCTGGAGATCTTAATCATGCTTAATTTATATCGAAGACAAAATGCAGTAACTTCTGGAGAGTTTGTGAGAACACTTAGCGCGGTCCAAATAATAGCAACACCAAAAGCTTGCACTGCAAAGCTCTCTCACGCTAAAATGAAGAGAGATTTTGCAGTAGATTGTGCTTTCTTTTCTTAACACAAAAACTTGGAAGAAGGGGAAAATATCGTAAATAGGCAGTTCCTTTCAGAGAGGTGTCTTTATATGTCTCCATGTGAAGGCTGTTGGGAGGGGAAGGAAAAATAAAGTGAGGCTCTAAAATAAAATTTGTACAGATGTAGCTTTTTTTGAAATGACATCCCATTTCTCAAGACTTGGATGTAGCCTTTAGTCAGCCTCGTTTCTCACAGTTCTCTGTGCTTTGCATGGTAATTAGCTCCCTGCGTTATCAGGAGCGCGATGCTCCCGGCTATTTCTTCAGCAGCCACTGCTGTTATCCTCGGCGGCAGCTCCTCGCGTCTTGCTGCCAGACGCCGCGAGCTGCACGCGTGTGCAAACGCCGGGCGGTTTGGAGGCTGAGCCGGCTGAGAAATGAAGGTAATGAGCAAAGCATCGGAGAGGTAAAAGGCTTGAGCTCGCCTCCGCTGACAACTTACCTGGAGTTGCCAGTCCTTCACAGACGATTCATTGGCGGTGCAGCGAGGCGAGTTTGTTATGACAGATTTCAAAACGCAATGAAAGGCAAATGAGCTGGGTTCATCAAAGTCAGGATAAATACAGGCTAGCAGCTCAGCAACTTAGCTGGGAACTGCAGCCGCAAAACCTTTTTTTTTTAAAGAAAATGTAATTAAAATGTTTATTGCACAACTGTTTTGTGGCATGCGTGCTGTGAAGACAGTGGAATGACTACATTGCTTATTTTATGGGCATTTCCAACATAAACCTTGTGCAAGTGCTACGCCATACAACAAGCACCAGAACAATATTGTTTTGAACAGGCAGGTCCACTCATGCAAATAGTGGGTGGAGTGCCGTGTGCTATTTGCTGCACACAAGTAATGCAGTCTTTTCCTTTAATGCAGATTTCAAGAGACATTTACTGGCCCTTTTTTTATTTAACTATGGCCATGAAGTTAAATTCAGGTTGCAAGATTCACGGGCAGCGTGGCTTTCTATGCAATGGGAATAGAAAAGTAGTGGGCTGGAGAAACTTTTGAAGTGAGAATGGGGAACCTTCTGCATACCAAGGGCTACAGAAACCTTTCAGACACACTTTAGGTCCTACATTAACATTCTGCATTGTGTTATACAATAATATCAGGAAGAAAAAAAATATATGGTCCCAGGCCGTATGAAATTGAAGTTGCTTGCTGTGTGCAGACCACGGACTGAAAGTTCTCCGCTCTTATTCTAGACACTTTGATATCAACAGTGATGTAGGATATTTACCAGAAAACCAAGATTCAAAGCAAAAAATAAATTAAAAAATTATATTTGACATTCAAAAGATAAAGAACAAAAAGGATAAAATATAAGGGTTTTTTTTTCTAAATTCTGTTTTCATTTTTGTATCTCTTGTCTTTGGTCTTGTGTTTCTGTTTTATTTTTTGTCTTTTGGAAAGCAACGTGATGAGATAGAGAGAGATGTGAAAATTTTTTTTACTCCCTGCTTAGAGATATGATGTGCTGGGGAGAATAACTATAGTTTTAGTTGTGTGGTAATGGGAAGTTCACTTTCTTGCTGATGAGTATTTGCAGACCTATTTGGTTCGCCATATGTTCAGTGCATTGTACACAGCATCAGAAGACAGGGGCAGGGGGCATCTTATGCCTCGTTGTGTAAGGTGACAATGGAAAAGAGCGGCAAATTTCAGGTGGGGCAGCGGAGTCAATCCTCTGTAAAGAAGGCATGTATGATGACGGTTTTACGCCCTCCATCGTTGTTAATGTGATAACTAGTCCTAGACCAGGCAATGGAGAAAGAAAAGGAGGAAAGGGAGGGAAACCCACAGAGAAGAGAGAAATAAGAGTTTTATCTAATAAGAATGTGAAATTCTTAAAAGTCCACACAATTGTCGTGGTGTTGCTGTGTGCAGTGTTTGTGGTGTTGCTGTCTTGCCCACTTCATTGGCACCATCGACTCTCTTGCTTGCCTTCCCGCTCCAGCGGCAGGAAAGGCAGCGGGCGCCGTTGTGCAGCTCCTCGGGGACTGTGGGGAGACCCGAACAGGGCTATCTGCAAGGGACTGCAGTTTCTCTTTAGCAGCAGTACATCAAATATGAGTAATTCTCAAACAGCTGACTTTATAGTGTGCTTAGTTCCTTTCCCTTTGAAATCAGTGGTATAGCTGCTAGTGACTGGCAGTGTGGCACCAAAAAGAGTTAATGCAATTCATTTGTTTAACAATCAAGGGCCATATTCAGCAAAGATTTCATCAGAAGTGCTGACAGTAAAACACTTACGACTTTCTATGGGTTGGCATGAAATAACAGCTACAAAAAAATTACGAAACATAATTGTTCCCTTGCCTATGCGTGGCTGTCTTTCTTCTGACCTTGGCTAAACCTATGAGGCTACGTGAGGCTACAAATTCAGACCTCCTCAGTGACGCAGCACACTCTGGGGATCAGCGGTGACAGTGCAGGAGGAGACTTGCACGGGCTGACTGAGGGTTTCATTCGGGTCTTGTAGGCACAGAAGTACTCAGTTTTGAAAGTGTCTTGAGATTTTCCGAGTGTAGAAATGGCGATGTAAGAGGAGTCTGCTTTCCAGATGACAAGCGCTCAGCGCTATGGAAAATCAAATTCCCTTGATATTTCTCGAGGCGGACACTTGGAAACTCCGAACCTCCAGGTCTTTTCTTGAAAATAGGAGGCAAAGAGCTAGTTCACCCCATAGCTAGCTCTTTGGGGGCGATAATTAATGAGATGATTGCGCTTTTTTGGATACCCCTTTACCCCAGTGACAAGACCTGCACCCCCATTCTTTGCCCGCTAAGTTAGTTCTGTTCTACAAAAGGAAGAAAATCTTCTTTTGCTTTGGGAAATCTTTGGGGAATTTAGTGTGGTGAAGTAACCCCCTAGAAACCTTGCTTGATGCAGCAGTCACCTGTACCTTGTGGAGACCTGTTGGAGGTAGGGGACCCCCTTCATCTCCCACACCTCTGTCCCCACCCAGCACTGATGCTCTCCCTCCCCACTTGTGCTGAGCAGGAAGGGGATACTGCAGCATGGCAGACTGATGTCCCACGCTGCCTCATCTTTGCTGGATGCAGTCCTGGTCCTCAGGGGCAACCCAGCTGAGCAGCTAGGGAAGGCACCGGCTGGATGGCACCTATAGGAAGAGCTGCTCCCGGCACGGCTCTGCCAAATCTCTGATTTACCCGTTGCAGAAACACTTCGGGTAAGCTGTACAGTTCCGGAGAGCTGAATTCCTTCGTGCGTTCAGTCCCACACCGTACGGATGGGCTTAGGGCTCAGCGTTTTAGGAGATCATAGCCTTCTCATTAATAGTGTGCTGACTAGCCCGGGCTCTGTGTTGCAGCCTGCGCCACAATCTCTGCAGCTCTCCCGTCAGCATCACAGCTGCGTCTACCCTATATCTCATCAGACTTCACACAGGCAGTATCGCTGCAGAGTCTTCCCTGCACAAAGGGTACACACAGATATTATTTATTTAATGCAAATAAATGTGTCCATTGGACGTATGTACATGCAATGTATTTTACCTATATTTATTCATAGCCAGTATATTCAAAATAACACCAACCACATGCAAAAGTAGCATAAGCAAAAGCCAATGAATTTAATACAAATGTGTTGCAATTGTATGTAAACATTGTAATTATTACATCTTCCTGTGGCCCAGATGGGGAATAGTGGGGGAGTTTTAAACATTGCCACTTTTCGCATGCTAGAAAGACTTGGCCTCATCTCGAAGCTGTAATTGAGTTTTGAATAAATTTCACATGACAACCATTCCTGAAACCTGCTATTTGTTATTTCTTTTTAAAAAAACAAACAAACTCTTTTCTCATTTTGTTTACAGGACAGTGGAACAGGAGATAACAGCTGCATTGAAGAAATATTGCGGGTAGGAATTCTTAAAAATAATTCTGTTATTGTGCCATTTTGTTTACTCTAAAAAGGCAAGAGAACAAAAATATTGTAATTACTGCTGTTAAAAATATTACTCTTTTAGACTGTTATCTTTCTAAGGAAGAAGTAGGTAAAATTATTTACGCATGTAAAATAATGGAAAATCTGTGAAAACAAGCTTTTGGAGCTTCTGAATTTCACTGCTACTTTGTACCAGTACGGCTGACCTTCATGCATGCAGAAGCAGATAATGGGATAAATTATAAACTGAAATGTACAACGATGTTTCAGGTTTACAAACCATGCAAAGTGCATGTTTCCATTAATCATGACTGTCAAAAATCTTAATTTTGAAGGGAGGTCTGGGAAGGTCATTTTCCACCTGGATTTAATTAGAATCCATTATGTAATGTCATTATGTCCATTATGTCCATTATATAATGACAATGTGCAAAATCCGCAGTTATTTCCATATTTCATTATTATTTCTTTTACCCCAGTAATTTCTAGTTTATTTTCTTGGAGAAGATTAATACATATCCAGATAGATCTCAGCCTGAACCAACTTTGATATTGGCTATTTTCTGGGACAGATAAACTTATAAACAATGCACCATTTTCATACATTTTTAACTCATGTTCCTTTGAGCTCTCTTTCTAAACCAATAACTCAGTTATCTGAAATGTTTATAAACCTGATGTAACCGTGGGTAAAACACCAAACAAGGTAGATGGAATGGTAAAACCGCCTTATTACTGAATTTGCTTCCATCTCTTGGACATCCACTATACAAATATTTTAGATTATTTATAAACTGCAGGCCTATAAATATTTGGTTTAGAGCTTAGTAGTGCATTAAGGCTGTTTTTTCTAAATGTGTTTCTCCATTCTCCATGAATACGTTAAATATGGCTTTTAATTCTTAAACTGGACAAAGAGTTTATCAAAGGGTGATTATGATGGATTGCTTATGACATTACTGGCAGAGCTTTTACATAGCTAACATTTACAAAGTAGGCTTTTGTAGGACTCAACTGCATATTTAACAGTCCTTTGCCTTCATCATTGTTGCTTTGTTACAAATTAGTACCAGATAGTATCAATCAAAAGAGTTTTTTATTTATATATTTTTTTTCACAATGTATATATACATGCATATACATATATATAAATATTTCACAATGCACTAAGCATATGATGTGATGTGAAGCTCATTCATCCTTTTTTATGCAGGACAGTTAAAAAGAACAGTCGAGGAAGCTAGTCTTTCTCATTGAGTACGGATTGTACAATTAGCCAAGAAACGGAGGAAAGACCTAGTTCCTTTACATACGAAGGCACGGGGACGTGTAAGTGACCCTAGTCAAAAAGCAAAATGGGCTGTATGACTAGGGATTGTAAGGCACATCTTCAAAATGGTAAACACAGCTGTTCACTCTCTCTTTTTTCCCTCGAGCGTGTTCCTCAAGAACTGTTTTCACAAAGCTACACAGAGAAATGTGCAGCGCATCCTTGGATGGACAGGACCCTTTTGTTCATGAGAATTTATTTGCAAATTCCTTCACTGTGAATTAAAAATTAAATAAATCAAACCACTACAAGCGGTTTTCCCAAGACCTCATGTTTGCCTGGCAGGTCATCATGCTAGCTGCAATCCTGTCTCCTCACAAAGTAGGCAGCTTAAGAAGGAAAAATTTACCACAGTACCTAGGTGAGGAGCTGGACAGAATAACTCCTCCCTCTGAGAGCTGCAGAGCTGCTCTGCAGAGCACTCTGGCCCGGGTCTTGCACAGCAGCGGGCTCCTAGATCCCTCATGTCTCGCCTCCCACCCTCCTCCCTTCATATGGGCATGGCTGCAACTATTTGGGAGTTTGGTCTTTTGAAATCCCAGTGTACGTTTAGCTCAGCAGGTCTGCCCCAACTGCATTGCAGTATGGGAACTGAGGCAGGATTTGCTTCTTGATGTGCAAATGCAAGTGCTGAATTTCTCTGTTATTTTGGGGCTTTTTTGCAGTGGTCTTAAACGTTATGATTAACATGCCCAAAGCCATAATCGGCCTTCCAACATGCAGGAATCTACAGCTGGAAAACACCAAACATAACTTATACTTTAACTACATCTAGCGTAACACTTCTGGTTTCAGTAAAGATGTGTTAGTATGGATGTGGTTCTTGGTTGTGAAAAACTTTACCACCTACTTTCTGAGTTATCCCTTTGCAAACTCATGTTCAGAAGACCTTAAAAGACACTATGTGATAAATGGGGTCTTCAAACCTGAGAGACTGGCTGAAGATCCAAAGAGTCAGCTGAACAGGTTTGAGAAACCAGGGTTGCGGAAGCCAGAGTGGGTAGGGACAGCCATGTCTCTCTCTTGCCCTGGAAGCACTGCCTGTGCCACGACAGCAGGCAGAGCCTTCTCTGCACCCTGCCCATCCTGCCGGTCGGGCGCTGCCTACGAGCTCCCTGCAAGCAGGCTGGGCAGCACTTTTAGCACGTGTGGAGGTGTGAGGACACACATAGGATTGGACATGCACATCTGAAGGATGCAGGCTAACCAGACTAAAAACCAAGCTCACAGAGCAGGAGATAGGAGGCAGTTTAAGTGTAAGTAGAGCTCGAAAGCCACACTTCTCATCAGTGTCTAGCTATCTGCTGAGGCTTAACATGACAAAAATAGAGATAGTACCATTTTCTTCCCTAGCTCTTGTCCTTACGTGAGTACTCAGTCACCACGGATAACCTCTCCAATCTGCCCATTCTCCAGGTCTGTAACTTGGGTATCACTTTCTAGTCTGAACTTTCCTTACGTCTCTCTGTCCAAGGCTACATTTAAATCTCGCAGACTATTTCTTTTATAGCATTTTCTAAGTGAAGCGCTTTGTTCACACGGGTACAATTCTAGTCTAAATTCGCCTCATCACACACCTTGATTGCTGCAGCATCCTGTTCTGTGGTTTTGACAAATGCAATGTTACCCACCTCCATTCGTGCTGCTGCACAGATCATTTTCGTAGCTTAACATCTTGCCCACATCACATTTGTCTTTGCATCTCACCACTGTCATCTCCTTTTCTATCACATCAAATAGGGCTGTTTGTCTCCACTTTTAAGGCCTCAAATCAGGGCTGACATATTGGCTCCCACTTTTGCTCATTTGGTGTCACGAGCCTCCATCCTCCCCTTTGCTAAATTTTGCATAAATTATTTTCTCCCATACTTCCCATCTTTTCTCCCATATTTCCCATTGTACCTGGGAAGAGCCACTGAATGCTTTCAAGTACCTCCATACCTACCTTCAGATCCTCTTTTTAAGTCTCTCCTTTTCCACAAGGACTGTGAAAAACAGTGGTGGGGCCAAAAGTGCACTGATCCCACTCTTTCTCATGCCTGAGCATTGTTGCCGCACTGGTTCCTTGCAGGGCCCATTCAGGCCAGATATATCTGTCTGCTCTCTCTTGTCTTGAAAAGTGAACTTTCTGAGTCAAGAACCCGTTGTATGGCACAAAAGCAGTTCTCAAGTCCTCTAACAATGCAAATCAGTACCAGCAGTGGTTGTTGTAATTGATAATTAATAAAAACAGCAACAATAACAATGTGCCATAGCTGCTCTTTTGACAATTCACTTGCATCCAGACTTTTCCATCCACTTTGTGCCCTCTTTTTGTGCTGAGCAAATCCGTTCAGTTTTAACACTGATTTTCTTGTTTTTAGAAACAGACTGTTTCAAAATAATGTCATTTCCAGATTTTTGTTGGAGGTGCTATACACATAGTAATGCCAGGGTTTTGCTTTTTTTAGGACAGCATATATGCATTTCCCATACAAACGCCCAAAGGCAGAGCACCGAAAAGCCGAGAGGGCTGCAAACCATGTGTTCCCCTCAGGAAGAGGGCCCCTTGCTGGCCTGCTGAAATGTGTTCATGGTTGGAAGGGCCATTCTCCCCTTCTTTTTTCCTTGTACAGAGCATCAGCAAAAAGAAGATGCTTAAACTGCATCTTTTTAAGGAATGCAGCACAACACCAAGCGGAGCTCACCTGTCCAGCTCAAGCTGTGGCTCCTCCAAGGGATAAGCACTTCCATGGGGTGCACCCCAAGTCCTGTTTCCACTTGTGCCACCAGCCTGCTCCATCTGCATGTCTGCGTGTCCGGCACCCAGCAGGTGTGAAGAGGCAAGAACCAGTTTGTGCCCACATCTGGTCACAGTCTGGATTCAGGTTATGGCCAGGACTAGCATCTGGACCTGGGCTTCAGAATCAGTTCAGGCATAGCTTTAAAAGTCACCAAATCTTAGGTTGCACTAACTGTAACAAGAATTTGTAAACTTTGGGCTGTCTTGTACAAAGCAGGGAAGACTAACTGAAGACTAACCTTATCTGATGTGTTCTTACCAAACATATCAGACCCCTGTAGACTTTGTAAATTGACAGACCATGCTGCCTGAAACTGCAGCTTCTGAAGAAAGCAAGTACTAAGACGCAGAACTGCTATGAGTCCTGTCCTGTTGATTAACAAGACAGTGACCCTGTAGAGATTGAAGCTATTGTAAGGACTCTTGCTGAGTTTATAATCACTGCAGGAATCCTGAACCTAGTCTAACCCCATGCACTAATTTAGAGCAACTTCTTCAAACCATAGCGACGCCTCTGTCCAGCTACATACATGCACATCATGGTTACAGAAACTTCTAAAGAGAACCTTTGATGTAAATAATCCCAATAAGAGAAAGTTACAAGTGCAATGTCAAATCAAGGGAAAAGCCTCATTATTTGACCATAGTTGTGAAAACCAATTCCTTGTAAGTTTTTGCATTGCGGGTGAAGGACATCACAGAAAACTTTGAAGTGGAAAAGAAGAGTTAAGGCTGTACAAACATCCTTAATTCCACTATGCCCTGAACAGTTGCTACCTGAGTTCCTGAGAGATCTTCAAAGCCAATCTAGTCAATCTGTCCCTTTCCTCTCCTAAAACATAAGCTTGCTAAGTGAGAGTCA